TTCTAGAAAGTTTTCTTTCACTTTTTTCTTGACTACTTTTTCTATCAATAAACGTTTTCTTACTTTTCTTATTTCTGTCTTCCTTGCCTTACTACTTTGTTTGAGTAATGCTATTTGAAGGACCTCCGACGTTTTATTTTATATTTTTCTAAATTGATGTAGTGGATAGGTAATGGGCAACTTGAAAGTGATTTGCAACGTATTCACAGAAGAAGTTAATAAGTCTAGGTGGTAGTCTTAACTATTATAATTCAAAAAAAAAAAAAATTTAGAAGAATCAAGAGCAAAACGGAAAGAAGGAAAAGGATTTGATTAAATCTCAAAAATACATTGAAATAGTAAGGCAATCAAAAATTCAAAAGTCGAAACCAACATTTACTCCGCAGTTTTTTTTTCTTTTTTAAAGATTTATTTGTAATATATGAAGGTTTTGACAATATTGTAGATGAGTGTCACTGTTTTCGGTGTTGCTATTGTTGTGATACAATCAGATCTTTTGCATTGCGAGATGGTCAATTAAAAACTGTGGAAAAAGCAAATAACACGCTGGAAACGAATTAAAAGCAATAAAAGAAGCAAAGATTAACTTCAATTGGATTGGGTATTTATGACGGCCAGAATTGGTCACAACGGAGGATTATTCCGGCAAACGAGTGTTGATGAGGGAAAGGAATGTTTTTTTATTTTTTTGTGATACGGTTCAAAGTTTGAAAGTTCTTTTGCTTCCTTTTTTTTTTTTTTTTTGACTGACGACTAATTTTGGCTGCTAGAGATTGTAAACCAACTACAGATTATAAGCGAGGACTAAATTCATGATGGTTTGGTTTGGTTTGGTTACATGAGCATTTTTTTTTTTTTATCAATGCTGTTTGCAGTTTGCTGTAAAATAAGCAGAGATTCAGAGAGTTTTATACAATTAAATTTACAACAGTTTATTCAATTATTAAATCAAATTACTATTATATTATTTTTTTGGCATTTTTTTACTTTTAAAATAAGAGAAATTATAACATTAACAAAGTGTTTGGTGTTGTTATGCTTATCATCTTCTTTCTTCTCTTTTAAGAAATATCTAATATTTAGACAAAAAACCGTAAACAACGGAAGTTTAAAAGATACTTGATATTACTTTGATTTGATTCACTAGGTTCTCTGTTGAATTTATTCAGTGATTGAAAGCAGTAATTTACTTTTCCATTTTTGTTGTAGTTTTTGTCTTTTTTTCTTATTTTTTTTCTCTTTTTCTACTCAATCTTCGTTCCTTTTGTATAATCACTAAAATAAAAGACTACCTGCAAAAAAGGACCTGACGAGGAGAGTCAGTCTACAAAGTGATTCTTTTATCAAAGAAAGCTACAAAGTTCTAGTTGCTTACTTGAAAGAAACTGAACGTATTTGAACGGAACGTAAACTAATATACGAAAATAAACTTCAACTTAATGAGAGTTTTTTTAATGTTAAAAACTTTACTGCTTATCGCAGTTATTTAAAAATTTTTTGGTTGTACACTGAAGAAAATTTATAAATAATTGTTATTTAAAATTTTTTCTTGTTTTAGTAGATATGCTTCTGCTTTACAAAAGCTTCTTTTAAGAAATAAACTTTTTGATCTTTGATCTGACATTTTTTTCTCAAGATTTTTGCATATAAATGAGGAAGGCATCTTTTGTTTAGATTTTGGATAAGCTTTCTGAATAATTCTGTTGCTTACTGTTGCATTAAGTGACACTTAAAATCTTTTCCACGTTTGTCGACACGTTTCAGGAAAATAAATTTTTGATTGCAAGAAAGAAAATAAATGAATTAGTAATTTTTTGTTTTCATTCTTATTCCACATATTTATTTTTTCAATTCTTTATTATCTGGTTTGTCAATAATTGCATTTTTTTTCAGGCTATTTTTAGTTTTGAAGAGAAGCTTTTGACCTTTTTTCTCCGATTTTTTCGTCTTCAGGAAATAAAACACTCCAAATATAAAGGAGTTGTTTAATAATAGTGATAGATGGGTGTAAAATTACTACAACTGCAAGTAATTAATCGGAATATAACACCTGCATTTAGCTTTTTTTTGGCATCTTACGTATCACTATATTTATATAAACATTGTTCCTTGCATTTGCATTAAGCAAAAAGAGTTAGAGGGTGAAAAGTGATTTGGCAATCTTTCCTACGTTTTTCAGGCTCTGAAGGAAAGAAGAATAAGGCAAAGCGAAAAATAAATTCTAATAAAAAAGAAAAGTCGTAAATTATAGAGTCTAATTTGGCAAATATTTTTTCTGCTTCTGTGCCAACAAAAGAACGGTGATTGGAAGGCAAAATGGATTTGTTGAAATTGAAGGCCAGTAACAGTTGCGTAAGGAATCACAAATGATGGCAGAACTGGCAGTTTTTTATAGAGTGCCAAAACACTAAATAAGTTTGTATAACTTATAAGGTTAGTCAAAAAACTGCTGCTATTAGAAAAAAAAATACACTTTATTTTTTTTTATTTTATTTCTTTTTACTAAATCTTTTTTTATTCTTTTCTTTGGCTGCACAAAGAAAAAATAGAAAGCAATTGCATTTTTTTGAAATTTATTTTCACACTTATTGTTTTTTGCAGACAGTAAAGAAGTAAACAGAAGAAGTGAGAAATGGTAACAATAAGTAAGATCGGGCCAGCATTAAGCAGAAAAAAAATCAACGTTTATAATTTTAAAAGACTTCCTACTTCATTTTCTATCTCTCCCCTCTCTCAACCTCACATCTGCTTTTTGCTTCGCCAACTCTCCTCTTTCTGCTTCCAATCTACCATTTTCTATGGTTTGCTGTTAGAGGAGGACAAAATATCAAGGTGGTTTTTGTTGATAAAAAATGATAATACCTTTTACTTAATTTATATTTTTGAATAATTCAAGAAGTGGTGGATGTTTTATTTTGCAATCTTTATCATTCTGGGAAGTGAGAACTGGAACGAAGGAAAAGGGGGAAGGCGGGAGTTGGCAGTAGAAATAGGAGAAGACCAAACACGGAAGCAACGAACATTTCTGCGTTTCGGCTGGTCTTTTTTTTTCTTGACTTAAATTTTTTTATCATCGACAGCACCAAACAAGGAGGAAAGTGCAAAGAGGAACTTAAACAAAAGAGAGGAAATTTTTTTTGTCAGTATTTACTGGTATCAATTAGATAGTTACAGCTATTTTCACGCTGCTGTATTTCTGGTATCACTTGAATGAATATCACTCGAGACTCGGGAAGAGCGAAAAAAAAAGACAGAAATTAATTTTTATTTTACTTATTTTTGTAAAATAATTCTTAAATTTTAATTCTGCAGTCAAAAAAAGAAATTCTTTTTTTTTCTATGAAATAATGTAAACAGAATAAAAAATAGTTCCTTCTTTCACTTTCTCTACTCTTTTCTAATAAAAATTGAAAAAAAAAAAGTTAAGCAATAACTGCTTTTCGGCTTTCTTCTGCATCATCCTCAATGCAAAAGTTTGCACTAACAAAGAAAACTTTGCTTTTATTAATTTATAAATTTAGTATCGTTGCTCTTTCTACACCATATATCGTATTCTCATTTTAATTTCTTTTATTGTTTTTTGAAGGAAAAGGAAGGAAACTTAGAAATAGTTTTTCGTTATTTATTAGTGATGAGGAAGAAAATACTGAAAGAAATTGTTCGCATTATTTTTTATTTTTCTTCTGCTCTCTGGACTACTGTAAAATTTATATGCCAT